ACCTTCATGATATGCAGTGCATGTGGTCTGTATGTGTATTGCATTAAAAAATTACTCCCTGAAGTTGGTAGTTTGGGAATTCCTAAGTTTTACAGTTATCTCTATTGAAGGTATGAACTTGCTTCTGGTGAAAGTTACTTCCGCCAAGGTGAACTTGGAAGGGCCCACAAAAAGTTTTTGGCCGTGGAGAAGCACTATGCTGATATTACTGAAGATCAATTTGATTTCCATTCTTATTGTTTGAGGAAAATGACATTGCGTGCGTATGTTGAAATGCTTAAATTTCAAGATCAGCTGCATTCACATGCATACTTCCATAAAGCAGCAGCCAGAGCGACCGGGTGAAACATATCTCTTATGATTTATCTCTGTGTGGGAATGCTTCAAGTGTCTGTAACCTTCTTGGTTGTTACTAGATGCATGCGTAGATCCTTATGGGTGGGAAATTGTTGCAACAGTTTCAGGTTTAATGTGGATCAGTTGAAAATTAAAATTAAGCATTTTTGTTTAGATCACCTTTTGAAGTAGACCAATTTCTCTTAGCAGCAGTAACTTAGAATAACTAACATTTCCAATTCTATAAAGGCAGCCTTCTTCTATGCCCCTGGTTCCCAGTCAATTTTTTGGAACAAAGTTTCTAATAATGTAATTTGTACTGGTATATTGTGCCAGTTATTTTCTTATTCCTTACAATTCTAGAGACCAACTCAGAATATTTTTTGGTAATTTCCCCACACTTTCCATAATGGTTTACAAATTGTGACTTTTACCAGATTGTTTTTCTGCAATCCTTAGGTTACTGTTTAAGTTGTGTTTAGACATTAGAGAGATCTTTGAGAAGGACAAATATTGTATACGGTATCCTTTTTTGAAATCATAATCATATACAGTATTGCTCTCTGAAGGATAAAATTGCATTTTTAAATAGAGCTCATGGGTTTAAAGGGCAAAGAGCAATTCTGTGGCTGGTCAGTAGGTAGAAGAAAAAGATTTGCCGTTACCCTATTCAGAAGTTATTTGCTAAAATCTTGTGTTGATTACGTTGATGATCTAATGGTTGGCCTTACAATAATTAAATGAACAAGTAAATGCCTGATTGATTTTCTTGTTAGCAACATTGGTTGCTGCTTTGTATCCAAATCATCTTTATATTCTCCTTCTGCATATTTATGGTTATTGGTTTTGAAGTGCAGATGCTATTTAAAGTTGTATGATTCTCCTTTGAAGTCTCCAACTGAAGAAGATGATGATGTGTTAAAGACTCCTGCCCAGAAAAAGAAATGAAAAAACAGAGGAAGGCAGAAAGGGCTAAGAAAGTTGTTGCCTGTTTCTATGATTTCCTGGAAATATTCTGTTTGAGTTTGGTTTGGATTCTAATGCTCTGTTTCTTTAGGAGGCAGAGGAGAGAAATGAAGAATCAAGTGCAAGTGGTATGTCAAAGTCTGGGAAACGGCATGTTAAACATGTTGACCCAGATCCACAGGGAGAAAAGTTGTTGCAGGTTAATATTTTAGTTGCTTTCTCTTGTGCTTTAATAGACAAGAATGCTGCAAAATGCATTGTTTTCCTCTATTTCCAATGAGAATAGCACCATCCTTATCTGTCTAATTCTTGTGACAGGTTGAAGATCCTTTATTGGAAGCATCAAAATACTTGAAACTACTTCAGAAGAACTTGCCTGACTCTTTGGAGACTCACTTGCTTTCCTTTGAAGTAAATATGAGAAAGCAGAAGATTCTACTGGGCTTTCAGGTATTTCCTTAATCTGATTTGGTTTTGGAAGAGATATGTTACACGGTATACTTTTTATTTGATAGGCAAACTGACATGAAAATCGTTGAAGTGGATTAAGAATTTTGATTTGACAGAATTAAGAAAAGAAAATCTTAATGTTATGAAAATCAAGGAAAGAAAATCTTAACTTTACAAAAATCTTTTCTTTTATGTCAATTCAACTAATGAATTTGACACAAGAATTGAGTAGTTAAGTTGAATGTGTTATGGTTGAATGATAATTTTACTTGGTTATGTTTCTATTACTTTTTAATGGTAAATTAATGTACTAGACTTGCTTCTACCATCTTTTTTCTGAAGGCTGTAAAGCATCTGCTAAGGTTGGACGCTGAGAATCCTGATTCACATCGCTGCTTGGTATGTGATGTGATGTCTTATGGTCCATATTTATGTGAGCTCGTTTGCACTATTGATAATAATTGATACATGATGTGTTGTAGCCATCAGGTCACCAAAATTCAAAAGTCCTCTTTTCCTGCTACTCATTCCAACTTATTCTTCTGCAGATTAGATTCTTCCACAAGGTGGACTCTATGTCTACGCCAGTTACGGATGCTGAGAAACTTGTTTGGAGTGTTTTGGAAGCAGAGCGCCCATTTATCAGGTTACCTTTGAAATGTCCATTCTTGTTAATTTCTCCTTTTGATTTGCTGAGCGAACTATTATTTTCTACACTGTTTACTGAATGTGTATTTGCTGTGTTAACTTTGTTTGTACTCTTTCTTCTTGCAGTCAATTGAAGGAGAATTCTCTGATTGATGCAAACAGAATTTTCCTTGATAAGCATGCTGGTATTTATGGCTTGGCTTTACCTTAACATGTGGTCTGCTACTTTCTAGTTGGGTCCTTCTGTTTGACAGTAAGGTTTTATGCAAGTTTTCCCTTTCATGTTCTGCAGATTCTCTGATGCATAGAGCAGCAGTTGCAGAAATGTTGTCTACCTTGGAGCTTAACAAGAAAGAGGAGGCTGTTAAATTAATTGAAGCCTCAACCAACAAAGTTTTGCCAATGTAATGCTTCTTGTTGTATTCTTTTATTTATTTTGGCTTCAATGCTTTGCAGTTTGATATTTTGAGTTTCTTTAAGATCATTTCTTTTGCTTATATATAGGAGTGGAGCACTTGGACCGGTCATGGAATGGAAATTAAGAGACTGTATAGCAGTCCATAAACTCTTTGAAAATGTTTTTACTGACCAAAATGCTGCATTGAGTAAGTCTAGATTATTCCTGTGGGCTTGTGGTTTCTAACTTGGGCATTGCTTCCTTTTTTGACCTTCAAGAACTTGCTTAATTAATGATAAAATTGATGACCATTTAACTTGAGATAGATGACAGTCTCCCACACCAATTACTAAGCCACTCTATTTAGGCTTAAGTGGCAAATTTTTCTTTTTGGGAATTACAGGAATGTCTCTGGTATATGGGCAAATTTTGCTTTGAATGAGTTTCTCTTTTCGGCCATCGCTTTGAATGTGTGTTTACCTCGGTGTAATGTGCTCTTGGCTTGGAAAAAATACAAAATTACTGGCAGTTAATTTTATTTTGAGCTATATTTATCAGGGTGAAAGATGGTTAGACCTTTGGTTCATAATTATCCCTTCTGCAGGATGGAAAGAGAGATGTGCCAAACACTTCCCCTACTCGACCTATTTTGGTGGCAATCGCAGCTCTGCCGTGCACAATTTAGGGAACAAACAAACAAGCAAGAATGCTGCAAACGGGGGTTCAGACCATTCTGAAATCAGTCAAGCTGCAAATTCCATTATTTCAAATGGAAACCTCGAGGCATTTAAGAAGCTTACCATCTGAAGTCAATACTAATTTTGTGCTTCAACTGCCATCAACTGTAGTCAACTGAGTTCAGTGTTGAACCTGCTTGAGTGATGGAATCACAATCACATAAGTCTTACTCGTCCAAGTTCTTCAGAGCTCATCCAAGATAAATGAGTTTGTGCGTTCACGGTAATCCTCTTCTACCATGACCTTGAGGGTCGAGATGCAATTTTTCTTTATTCAATCTACTGTTCCTGGCAGTGAAATGCATTCCTTTGCAAATGTGTATAATTTATATGGATGCAGCTTAAGGGCTGATATTTTTTCCCCCATGATTTTGATTTTGCTCACCATTTGGGAGGATCCTAGATAAGGTTGGCTCCTTGTTTCCCCAAATTGTTTGAAGTCATTTCGTCTGAGGCGGAGCACTGCAGGAAATTTTGGGTACTGAGTGCTGATCCGAGGCCTGTTCAGAATAGGAGAATAAAGGCACTGCTCTTCTATGGCTAATCTTTTCTGTGGATGTTGTACTACTCCGCCCTATCGTGCTTTCTCATGTATAACGCTACGTATTGTGGAAAATTTCGCTTTGAGTTGTAGGAGAGCCGCTTTAACATATCAAGGCTTTTCATGTTTCTCATATTTCTGTGGTGCTACTCGTGGCTTTCTTTGTTGCCAAAATAGTTGAGCGGTTGTTATCCCCATTTTTGATTTTTCTAAGACTCAAATCCTCTGAGGAACTCATGGCAGCCGGCATTTATCACTGTCAATATCTTTACAATAATAATGCGATTTCCACAATTGTTTTCTTCAATCTTAAAATAACCCTGTATGTATTTAACCATCATGAGCATTTCTAGTTCACATTACTCCTAGCAAAATACATATTTCCTTCCCCGCAATAACAATGCTGGCAACATGCATACTGCAATGATTATTTGTAGAGATCTGTAATTGATGCCATTGCCTGAAAGGATAGGGTCATATACACAGAGGAAACAGACCATAAAAGGGTAAAACGCGTATCTCTTGCACTCTTATTTTACAACTTTTCAACAGATTTACAACTTTTCAACAGATTTACTCAACATCTCTAACTGGTGTAGGAGAAAAATCACCTTTCCTGATATGGTCACTCACCTTGGGCTTGGATGTGTTGATTTATAATGACGAACTGAGTTATAACCCAAGGATTTGACATTAGGCAATTTCCACAAGCTTGCAAATCAAGGAGGAGTTGAGCATCCAAGATTTGACACTGCTCCTTGAATGTCTAATTCATCTCCATCATTCTCTTGCTCTGCTATTAATTAGGGTCTCTAAATATGGGTGAGGTGCTGCAATTCTCACCAACCTCACTTTTACAGAGGGGACATGATGCATTGATTTTTAACCATTTATCAACGCATTCCACGTGGAACACATGGACACATGGGAGCTCCCTCAGCTCATCATTGTCTGCATATTTTGCCAAGCAAATACAACAAACCTGCATGACCCCAAATTAATAAGCCCTATATTCTGGACCAAAGCAAAACTTAAAGAGGGTATATAATCAGAGACTGAAATATTAAACATTGGCAACATGCAACTGTCATAAATAATCAACCTGGTGTAACAATGATGTGTATTCTGGCTAGCTTCTAACTATTAGATTATTGAGGCACTGCCCCCAAACTCAATTTTAATAAGTGACTTGAAGCAGTGTTTTACCAATAAGACTTTAGAAGTTAGGTGAAACCAATTTATATCCAAATTCAGCAAGTAAATTGACAAGAAACTAAGCAAGAACCACCCAGAAACTTGCTAGTTTCATAAGCCGTATATTTCAAACAGTTTACCCAGTTTGATTCTAGCATCTTTCTTGAGTTCAGTTTTGTTACTTAGTTAATGAATTTAGATTTAAAAACCACTACATTAGCAGCCATAAAACCTAGCATCCAACTTACTGCATCTTCTCCTGATATGGTACGTTCTTTTGCTGTGCCTGCAGCCAGGACTCCACCTTCATTAGCTGAGTTATCCTGATTGTTGACATTTCTGTCTTTTTCTGATTTGAACTTGTAGGTTGGCAATGCATTAATAGATTCCACAGTGGCTCCCCTAGTCTGTGAAAATTCCTCCCGAAAGCCAAGGACAGAAATTATGCAAGGCAAGCAGCAACAAATTGTTGCACATAGTATGAATGGCATGGCATATCCAATGCAGCTAAAGGTGAGGAACACTATACATAACCTACAATGAACCCAACAAAACAGTTCATGACTCAGCCACGAGGAAATTTCAGTGAAGAATTAAACATCAGTATTTTCTTTTACCTGTACAATTTAGGAGCATCATGGGGTGAAGTATGACCTCCAAATATCCACACATTGCCCACAACAAACCACACTGCAAAAAAACAATCTAAGGCCATTTTGAAATGGTCCACTAATCCATTGAGTCTGCATATCAGAAACCAAATTTATTATTCAGTAACACTACCTAAATATTATAGAAGAATTTCAAAAACCTTTTATCTAAATCTCCACGATGTTCTTTTTTTTTTTTTTTTTTTCCAACTACATCCAAATATATTCTGAAAAAAGAAAATAACCAAAGAACCACAGCCACTTCATTCTTATCGAACAAAAATACAATCAACAATTCAAGTTCTGGGATGCAATCAAGAAACAGTTAACACAGCAATATATAAGCTAAGAGATCGTTAGTTGGATGTAGAACTTGAAACTCCCACCTACAACAAATTTAAACCTTGCCATTTTTCCAAAATTATTAAGATACATGGACCAAATATAGCCTCACATGAACAAAAGCTAAAAATGGAATCTAATAGAAAACTAAATACCAGCAAGAAGCCATGGTTTCTTGAGGTAGACTTATTCAGGCAAAATCAGTGTAGCAGAAAGCAAAAGGCGATGGTGGGCATTGTGCCACTACCTAGCGCCTAGGTGTTTTTCTTTTTTCTATTTTTCAAAAATGCCATAAAAAGGTCAGTACTGGGTCTAAAATATATCCTAGTGTTTTTTTGCAACAGTGGCAAAATGTATCTATCAATGTCTGTTTAATGACATAAGTACGAGGTAATCTAAAATGTGACACAAATTCCTGAACCAAACCAGTCAACTTTTGAATAAATGAATTTATGGATTATGGACGTATATCAAGGAAAAGAGTAGGTATCATGAAGGGCTTTTTAAAGTTAAATTCCCAAACCAAGAAAAAACATATACCGTGCACTTAAAGTTCCTGCAATTTGATTGTTCCTTGCTGCTGTTTCTGTGGTGTGATTATTTCCCTCATCTAAAGCTTGAGTAACTGTAATAGCCGTATAGGGTGTAGTTTCACTAGGATTACTTTGCGAAAAGCTTTGATGCAAATGAGTGGAATCTTGCTCAGTACCCTGGTTGCGATTACGAAAACGCCAATAGAGAACAGGAAGTGTTGCAACACATCCAGAAGCATAACCAACAATCCACTGAAAAAGTGGAGCCTGAGGATGTTCATTTCCTGACAATGACAGAACCACGACAGATGCTACAATCTGACTAACAGTAACAACTAATTCAACAGAAATCCATAGCCCAGAATTCAAAGGGCTTCTGTGACGACGACGACCATACCCATCACCTCCCCTTGTGAATGAGGAATTTCTAGTGTTTAATCTGTTTGAAGAAGATGAAGAGTGATTGTTGTTGTTGGGGGCTCCAGAGCTACTTGAAGGAGTATCTTCATTCTCCAGTACGTTGGTTGCATGGCGCTGCTGATCATGAGATGAGCTCGATAAAGCATCATCATTTTCTGTAATGTTGATAATGTGCTCACAGTTGCCGTGCCTTTCCACTTGCTCCATTAACAAAGGATATTTGTCTTCGGAACTACTTTGTTCTTGAGAGGAAACTTCCATCTAAATCCGCCAACCAAATAAAGCCATGCGAATGCATAGGATAATGATAATGAACTTCAATTTTTTGATACTTTTCCCAAACACTAACACGAAACAAAATAATGATTTATCTGATATACTGAATGAAGCTATGCCAAGCACCCAAAAACACTTGGCAGGCAGAATGTATGGTCCAACAAGATAAATCCCTATGAGATAGAAAAAAAGGCTGCCCTGAAATAGAAAATAAAATTAATTACCTCCCTCATATTTTACCAACAACATGTGCAGCTATGTTGCATAAACACACAACATGATCAAAACATAACACAGTAACTTTCTTTTTTTTTTTTTTTGATCAGCAACATAACGTCACTCATAAGTTGAGGACCTACTTATGAAAAACATGCTCATAGCAGAATCAAAGAATGGTCCAGTTACAACATAATATAACTGCATTAACTACGATTTATTGCTGAATTACGTAAATTGTGAGATACAAAAGCAAGTGGAATTTACTAGATCCTTCAATAACAAAATTCAACACAATTCAGATGGTAAACATCAACAAGACTTATGTAGACAAGACCCGATATCACCATCAAATTCATAGAAAACTTCACTACATACAAAACAAGAAAAAATGCAGATATTCTTTAAAAAAGAAAAGGGATTACTTAAGAAAAACATTGCATTTCCAGCTAAAATATTGAAAATACAATTCAAAAACGCCAGAATGAAACAACGACACACAAATTACAGACACAAAGAAAGAAGCAACCGCATCTTATAATTAACACAGTAAACCCAAAGAAAAAGCATCAATTCTCCTAATATTGACTTAGGAAACTAGAAACCCTCTTGGTCTTACCACCGAATCAACTGTAAAGAAACTAGAAACCTACTAACAATTTGCCAAATCCAGCAAGGAATCGATTAAATTACATGGAAAAACAAAACCCTAGACAGGGTAATTGAAAAAGTAAAGAGAGAAACGTATTAAAAGGGGAAAGGAAAAGGAAGATGAAACATTACCCAGATTCGAATGAAACACCCGAGAGTACAGAACAGACAGGATGAGAGAAGTGTCAGAGAAGATGCTTCAAAGGCGATTTCCTTTTCTTTCCTTTTCTTTCATTTTCTCGAGAAAATATAGCGTCAGCTGTTGTGCTCCTAAGCTGCTGAGACACAAAAACCAGAGAGAAGAGAGAGAGGTTGATTTTTGTGTTAAGGAGAGAAAAGCATTGGAAAAAGATGGGCCGTTGGATTGTATAAGCGGAGCTCACAGTGGTTGGGAAAAAAGGTACAAACGAGGAGACAACTTTGGTGTAAAGTGCAATTAAGGATTCCTACTCCTCATTTAGGGTATATAAGACCAAATACTCGATTGAGACAAATGAGAACACATTGGATCGGATGGAGAGCACGCATATGATGTGTGATGTGGTTGAGCCATTTTTTGACTAATTTGACGTAGCTCATTCTCTGCATTTCTATTAAGTAACAATTCTTTACTAATCATAAAATGACTTAATATGATCAACGTTATTATGTGAATTTTTTTTTTTTTTGATATCTCCAAAGTTCACTTGATGGAGTTGATTGTAGACTTAATGATGCAGAGCCAAGTTTTGTATTATATTTTGGCAATATTATTGTTGTTAGACATCATTTGCATCAAATACCTCAAAAACTATGCATTGCATAACAGTGAGGGGCATCTTTGGATTAAGAAAAAAGAGAGAGGGGGAATATTTCAGCACGTATAAAATTCAAGTATAAAGTGTTGAATTTTGGTTGGCCTGTCTTTGACTGGGCCAGTTTCATGGGTTTGAAACTTTGGATTGGACTGAGCCTACTCCACATGTTTGGATTTGCAACCACATGAGCAGTTCCTCCTTGATGACTATGGTGCTGTGGCCACAAGCCCAGAGGCCACTCCCTTCGACCTTTCGACCAGTCCCATGCAGTGGTGGCAATTTGCCTCATTCGCCGTAGGTACCGTGAGGATCTTCGTCACGGGACAGGATAGAGAGAAATACTTTTTTTTTTTTCATGGGGTGAAAACAGGAGGTATTTTTTTTTTTTTGTAAAATTTTCTCGAAAATTTCCCCGCGGATACTCATCGTTGTAAAATATTTAAAAAATATATAAATTAATTTTATTTTAAATTTAATTCAACTTTTAAATTTAAATTTAATTAAATAAAAATTAAATTTAACTCAATTTGATTTAACGCAATCCAACCAAACCCAATTCAATTTATTATTAATCATTTAATTCTAACTTTACTTATTTTTCATCACTTTCACCTTTCCCTCCCCTTCTGCTGTCGGCACTTTTTTCTAAGAACTCTCAACCTCAGCTCCGGAACCACCTCCCCTCCCTCCTTCTCATGTTCATAAGAAGTCATTGAAATCAAAACAAAAAAACCCCCAAATTTCCCCTTCGGTTTCTTTCTCAACAAAATCAGATGCAAAATGTGGGGAAGGAGAAATTGGGGATGGTGGAATACCGAATAAGTGAAGAGAAGCTGGAGAAAGAGAAGACTGGTAGATGAAGGCACAGAATTAGTGAGACGATGCAAGAAATTCGTTTAGCTTTCCAATTTTCTCAATAAAATAAAAAAATAATAATTTCTCTTTTATTAATTGGATATTTACTAATTGTATTGTAAGTTTTTTATGAGTAAATGTGAATTTTGAGAGATAAAATGTTTTGAGTTGATCGCTTCCTTTTATACTGAAATTAAGTTGTTGGTTTAATTATTTTATTTATGTTGATTGATTTTTGTTTATGTTTGAAATAAATACTTGGATTTGCTATTTATGTTAGATTAATTTTTATTTATATTTAAAATAATTTTATTGATTTAGTTATTTATGTTGAATTAATTTTTATTTATGTTTGAATAATTTATATTTGATTTTATATTTAAAAA